ACCTCCAGGTACCCCCAAACACCTCCTGAACCCCCCAACACCCCCATTCACCCTCTCCCATCACAACCTGCCTTTTCCCTCCGGAACAAGCTCAGTGGTTCCAGAATTCCCACTGTTTCCCAGGAAACCCCTGAGCTCTTTGGCCTTCTCTCCCGATGGGAAGCTCCTGGTCACCGGCGAGGTGGGCACCACTTGCTTCTAGCTACCTCCCCCCTGATCCTGGTGGGATGGAGCAGCCGGAATCCTTCATCCCGACCTTCCCCAGGCTTCCCCATCCCATTGGATGGGGTAGAAGGGGGAAGCTCCCACCACAAGCCAGCGCTTCCCACCGCAGAGCGGGCACCACCCGGCCGTGCGCGTGTGGGACGTGGAGCAACGGAGCCAGCTCTCAGCCCTCCACGGCCACAAGCACAGCGTGGCTTGTGTCACCTTCTCGCCCAGCTCCAAGCTCCTGGTGTCCATAGGCTCCCCCCAGGACATGGTGGTCAACGTATGGGACTGGAAGGTGGGTTCCAACCCCACGGAGATGGCTTCAAGCAGCTCCTTGGGCTCTTCACACTTCACGGGGTAGGAGCCAACCATGTCTCCTTCCTGAGCAGAAAGGTTCTCTGGTGGCCTCCAATAAGGTGTCCTGCAAAGTGGTGGCCGTGGCCTTCTCCGAGGACAACTACTTTGTCACCGTGGGGCAGCGCCACGTCAAGTTCTGGTTCCTGGAGCCCTCGAGGGAGCTGAAGGTGAGGAGATGCTCTTTGCCAGCGCCTTTCCATAGGGATCGAGCTCAGCTGAGGGTGGACGCTGCTCGATCCCGGCTGGGTCTGGGTGAAGAACTGAGGAATGGGAAGGTTTCATCCCCAATTCCATGAGAAAGCCGTGAGTCCATATCTCCATGTCTGCCTGCATCCCATGTCCCCATCCCATGTCCTCATCCCTGTGTCCCTGTACCAACCTGTCCCCAGGCCATGGTTGTATCCCATGTCCCCATCCCACATCCATGTTTCCATCCCCATATCCTCATCCCTATCCCATCCCTGTGTCCCTGTGCTGTCTCCATGTCCCCATCCCATATCCATGTCCGCATTCCATGTCCTCAGCCCTATCCCATCCCTGTGTCCCTGTGCTATCTCCATGTCCCCATCCCATATCCATGTCCGCATTCCATGTCCTCAGCCCTATCCCATCCCTGTGTCCCTGTGCTATCTCCATGTCCCCATCCCATATCCATGTCTCCATCCCATATCCTCATCCCTATCCCATCCCTGTGTCCCTGTGCTATCTCCATGTCCCCATCCCATGTCCTCATCCCTATCCCATCCCCTTGCTCCTGTACCAACCCCTTGTCCCCAAGCCATCCCTGTGTCCCCATCCCACATCCCTATGTCCCATCCCACATCCCTGTGCCATCCCCATCCCACATCCCTGTGCTATCCCTGTGCCATCCCCATGTTCCCCCACACTCCCTGGTCCTG